GGCTAATAACCTGAAATTTGCCTGTGTACACGGGGTTATTGAAAACGAGCTTTGATTGAGAGAATATTTATATGTGAACATTCTTTTAACTCAAATCGAATCTGATATTCTAAACATGTGGCAAACTCATTTCGATTGATACCCATCCTTTAATAATTCATTTAAATTATTAAATTATTTGAACTTAACTTTTTTAACATGTGGCAACCCTCTTCAAGCACCTCAAAACTATTTTAAATGCTCAAACTAAAGAGTTCGCAACACTTATTCGTTTGACACTCATATTTTATTATTTCACATAACTTGTGTAAATGTAAGTTAACTAAATCGACTTTTCCAACCGGTGGTAATCCTCTTTAAAAGTATTTTCAAAGTAAAATTTCGTAAATCTCCTTCACCTGAATTTTTTCAATTAACTGATGAATTTGGTTTAATTGGTTTTTTTAAACATTGGCAGCCCCCTAAAATTAGTGCAAAAATAAAGGCCCCTATTATGAGTTGCATTCGATCTTCGACTGTGGTCGAAAGTGCTAATCGAACGAATTTTCATTTGTTATTATGGCGCTCATTCGATGAAGAATAGCGCTATTGTGAATTTCGCTCGTTTAGGTTGTTCACAATAGTATATCGAGCCAACAAAATAGCGTGCTTATAGTACATATGTACATATGTAAATTTGTGCAAATTAAAATGAAATAAAAAAGAAAGTGAGTTTATAAAAACGTGGTAAAAAAAATTTAATTAGTACAACGGAGTTCTGGTTGAATGATTCATCAGAGGATGAGAGCTTAAAAAGCTGGCCAGGAGCAGAAAACGATTAAGAGAGATTAAGTGCAGTCTTTCGAATATGGCCGATTATTTGACTGGCTACGTTACATTCGTACACATTCACCTCTATTCCGATTGTCGTAACGACAGTCGTTTGACGAAAAAAAAATGGCATTCCTGTTTTCGTGAGTCGCAGCCATCGGCTTAATCTATTACAAAAAGACATTCCCGTTGACGTTTCGACTCATACAACGACTCAAATAACGTAAAATTTTCTCGTTTGAATTTTTGTGCACGACAGAAAATAAAATTAATTTAGCTGACAAATTTGTTCTTGTGAAATAACAAAAAATGGTAAGTAGTAAAATTTCTTTAGCTGCACATGCACAGATGCATGTATTTTGAAGTTCGAAATTCTTGGTTTTAGTTAAAAGTCACAACCCAAAATCAGTTCGCCCTGTTGGTGCAGGAAAAGGAAAAAAATCCGCAATTGGCCAGGGGATTCCATAAAGGCGTCGCGAAGTTGGATGTTAGAAAGGAATGGGACACTATAGCTGAGAAATGCAATAGCTTGGGACCACCCGTTCGAGATGGGGAAGGCTGGCTAAAGGTGGATGAATCAGAAATTTGGTATTTCCTACAAATAATGTTACAGTTAATGTAACGAAAAATAAGAATAAATAAAAGACACAGTGGTTTTAGTACATTGAAATCAAAGGTCGTTTTATTTGTAGTTATCTGTGCGTTTAAATATTTCGATACAAAAGAATTGGCTTACCGAACGTGGTGTGATAGCTGACGTGATCTCCTTGCTGTCTTCTAAGAAGTGAAAAAATTGCTAACAAACGAAAAGGGATGTAGCCCACCGCACAGTACCTTACGTTAAGTTTCCCCTCAACTAAGTTACCGTACAGTGGGGCTTATTGTTAGCGGCTGGAAAGTTAGCCGTAACTTATATATGTGTTTGTGTGCTCTTACATCAAGTGACAAAACGCGTATTAGGGTGGTGCAATATATTTAGGTCGCGGACCTAAACACACCGGCCCCCTTGCGGTAAGCAAGTTGTGAAAAAAAGAGCCGCGTCTCAACCGTCACACGCTCGTGGGGAAAGTCTTATGTTATTCAACTATGTAGCGCGGATTTTATATTGCGCTCCCGAAACAACCAGGCCGTATATGGTCGCCTGGACCAGCAGGCCACCCACGGTAGACGGGGGGGGAGGGGGGGGGTCCCGCTCACCATCATCTCCGCATGCAAATCGAGGCCTAGTGTGAGGCGTATTGGTGAAGCGCGAAAGAATTGCGGATCCGCCAATCGCATGTACTGGAAGGGGGCCGCAACCTTAGGGTCCAGGTTCGACGGTGGACTCAGGCGTATATGGTGGTCCAGCACGACTGCTTGTGTCGTAATGCGGTCGGAGCTGCCGTATCTTCCTCGCATGGTGAGCGTGCAACGCTGCAGACGTCCTGATCCGTTGCGTTCCAGTTGGAGATCTCTCACCAGTTCCGAATCAACCAATGAGTTCGGTGCGCAAGGGTCAATCATTGCGCGGAACAAATCAAGGCGGCCACTTGCTTCAATCCGCACTATTGCGGTCGGCGCGATGGGGATAAGCGCACGAATAATCGGCGTTGATATGGCGCTTGGCGCTATGCGGCCCGTTCGGAAGCCGGTCGAGTTTCCGCGTCGCGCCAGTTTTGGTGTGTACGCGTTGGCGAGCGGAAACTGGTCTAACGGTCTCGGTGTGCCAGTTCCAGAGTTGCGCTTTTGTCGCTCGTGTGGGGAAGAGTCTATCCTATCTAACCCCTCCAACTCCTCCTCTTCGATCTGCTGCGCCCACGACTTCGTCTGTCCCGTAACGTTAATAGAGTGCCCCGTCCGAGCTCTCGCCGTCGTTGATCACGTTCGCTGGTTGCCTTTGGTCTTCGCAGTCATCGAGATGGAGCGAGGTGTGGTGCTTTTCGCGACATCGGTGGCATCGATCCTTGATGCTGCACATGTCGAGGCCGTGGAACGGCGAGAGGCAGTTTGGCCAGTATTTATGCAGCAGGACTGCACGCAGCCTTGCTTCGACCGCTTTGCCTCGGTAAAGGGGGCATAGTCGAATCCCATGCGCATGCCGCATAACCGGCATAGAACCGTAAATTTATCAGCGCGTTCTTCCGCATGTGCGCGATTGGCCGAGAAACGAGTAATTCTGTAAATGAGTCTCGTAGTTATGCCCGTAGTTGTAAAAAGTTACGTACTATTAGTTTTGGGTTGGGTGGCAAGTGGCGAATATATGTTTTCGTTATTGTAAATATATGCAGATTTGACTCTAAATATAGTATCCGTCTATATATAGTCTCATGCGAAGGCTTATAAAATTCTACGTGTAGACGTGGTAATATTTTAAATGGGTGGAGCGCGTGACCTTATTCTACGACGCAGTGGTACTTTTTTTTTTAAACATAATATGCATATAAATATATAGTATATGAGCATTGAGAGATGTCCATTTTATATTTTTATTCGCTTAACTTGCAAAAATTATAACTATTTCAGATATACATTTTTTTTTTAATTCGGCGCTAGTTAGATGTCACACAGTGTATACTGGCTGAATAATTCGCCAATATCGTAAAATGTACTAATTATGGAGAAGAGAAAATTTTCTGATAAAGGTTATGGGCTTGGCTAAACGGTGAGCAAATACACTACCAATGAACCTAAAATTCTATTAAGCACGTCAAGTTGTGGGATATGGGTAATTTAGTTTAGACACCAATCACAAAAAATGTATTAATTAATTAGCGAATATTCCCTTTTGGATAATTAACAGTCGTGCTCACATTTGCATGAACGCTTTGAATACGGATATTTTTAGTCACCACTCATGAAAGGCAGATGGCGCTAATACAAAATGCAGTTTAGGTCTTTAGGTGGAGACTTTTAATTGACACTTGTATTTCCCAGCGCATATTACAATTTCCTGAATGAAAAAAAAATATCATTCACACGTTTACCACGAGGAGTAACAACTGCAAAACGTGTAAGTATATTTAAGGTGTGACGTATTTCCTTAATACATTGAATTTTGATGGTTTTTTTCCAATTTTATTTACAGAATTCTTCGCTTTGGGTGAATATTTCGCTTCTCCGAACCAAGCTCAAGGAATTCCTACACACAAACCAAGCTGGTTAAAAAAAAACTCCCCGACACCGGCATAGGTACACTGAGAACTCAGCGAAGGGAGCCTCTTAGCGCCCTTCATATACCGAGGCATGACTATTTTCCCCATACAGAGGAAACAGATTTCGGCCAATTTAGAATTTTTCACTATACGGAACAATAGCACATTACACATATATGTAAGTGCCAGAGTTGCGCAATTAAGACACATTTTGTTGGGCACTTTTGTAGGTGTGAAATATGATTTCACATCAAGTTGCTGACGGTATTGGTTGCATTATTAGCACAAAGCTGGTATGCCAAGCGCGAGGGTGGGGTGAATGTAAACCAGCCATATATCATTTGAAGGCCACTTGTGCGCTACTGGGTCTATCGGAAAGAGTTCAACCAATCCAGTATCTTAGGGATTTTTCACATTGTGACGTTGTGTTTTTACACCGACATTCTGCCGTATATCTAGGGGCGTTGGCCCAGAACAAGAATTGTTTTATAGTTGGTCAAAACGATGAAGGCCTTGTGACGGGCTGCCAGTTTCATTTATAGGTTATTACAAATTGTATGTTGGTGTTTTAGGGTCCGGCTGATTAGATTCGCTTCCCAATAGAATTTTGGTAAATAACTACGTTTGTAATAGAGAGCGACTACGTTCCACTAGTATATCGCAAATGCCTTCTTTAATTCTGCGTTTGGATTTATAGCAGATTTCTTGACGTAATCCGACGATGATATTAAAGAAGCTTGTACAAAGTTTAGTTAACATTATTCAGAGGAAATTGAGCCTGCGTTTATGGACGAAATGGTGCAGTTGAAGTACTTCATCTTACAATTAGTCGATACGGGGAAAGATAAAGTCGGACCTGCCGAGAAATCGTATAAATTGATTTACTCATTAATAATAATAATAGATTGGCTTGTGTCGAAATCATTTTTGCTACAGTTCATTGTTATATCTTAGATCAAGAAAGGGTGGCCTTGCTAACCACGTTCAACAAATTAGTTTTGCATCACCTTGCGAAGAAAGATTGAGCCAGTCGGAAACCAGATACCGTAACCAGTGAAAATGGCCTTCAATTTCACAGCCTTCATCCCCATCGTCGCTTTGATAAGCGATGCGTTTTTAAGATTTTCCGCAGTATTCCATGTAATCGCGAATGGTCATTGTTGGATATTAATATACCTTCACTCGCATTTCACATATGACACCACAAGAATCGTTACGTCCTGCCAGGTACAGATCTGGACGATCCAACAACGGTGCTGAGCACAGATACCTTAATTACAGCATCGTTCTCCAAACGCTCTTTGGGGAATTTGTATGCCGTAACAACGGCAACCACGACAGGTAAGTCAACAATTTGACAATCTGGGTTAGCTTAACAAATAATATGCATAGAGGTAAGGCAGGTTGTAATGATCTTGAATTCAACAAAAAAAAAAATGCTAAATTAGCAACTGTGTATACATAAATACATTCAACAAGGCTATACTTATCTTGAGAGGTTTAAATTTATTATTTTTTTTTTTTTAATTCATCATTAGTAGATTTGTTCATTATTGAAACGTGTCACATTTTAAAAGACAGCATGGTAGAAGTAGCTAACATCTCACTACTAAGAGGGTAACTAACTCCATGTTTGTTTGTGAAAAAAATTACCTCTATACTTGAAGTTACCGTGATTTAAGATATCATATCTTTTAGGTTTTGATTATTGCATATGCGTCAGCCGCCCAATTCGTCCTTTTTCCCTAAGCTATGTCTGGCCCACAGCAGCGGATGAAAATCTAGTTCATGCTAAAACACATCGAGGCAATCATGGCAGGATGAGCACCACCAGCTCCTACAGCAGCAGCGCTCTTATGATATGACAAACCACAATTGTTGCATCTTTCAAGTATGACCCCAGGGTCAGTGCGGGTAAGTCGTAACTATTTGTTTCTTACACGACTTGATAGGGAGTTCTTTACTGTACTAATAGCAAGTGTGGGCCTTAAGTAAAGACATTCGAGAAGGCTTACCCAAGAAGGGCTAAACCAAATGCTTTGTTGCATTCTTCTTAGACGGGCTTTTTCTATTTAAAGTTTATGCGAATCTTAAATTAATGTTAGCATTGCAAATGAATTTCAATATGCATTTAAATTGCCATTAAATATATTTGAGTTTAACCGCTAATAAATCAATTAAAGGAGCGAAAATATGTGTGTACATCGTAACTTTAGCACCCACCCTAATAAATTACGACGAAATTTTGTACGCTGATTGTAACGCATTTGAAGGTTGTTACAAAAGCAAGATGCATTTTTAACATTTACTTTACTACTTGACTACATTTGCATTCGCATACTATAAAAAACATACTTCCTGCCCAGCAAACATTTGGAGTCATAAATGAGTCTTTAAGGAGTCCTATTTCGGAGCCATTATGCTCATAATGAGCTCATTTAAGAGTCCGATATGAGGGTGTTTCCCTTTCTCCGAAGGTCGACTTATATGAGCTTAAATTCATACAACAAATTAGCCTCAATATGAGTCACATTGGACTCTTATTGGCCTAATATACGGCTCATTTTGGACTCTTTTAAAACAATTATTGGCCTCATATATGAATCATTTCAGACTCTTTTCGAGCCTCTAATCAGCCTCATAAATTACTAAATTCGGACTCTTATTTTAGGTTGTTCTTTGAGTCTTATTGAACGCACTTTATTTGCAAAAGCATTCAGCGAAAATTCCTTTCAAATAACATGCATACATACTTACGTGCATATACACATTCCAACATGCATGCAATAGCAGCAGCTACAGCTAAATTTTGTTCATTTATTGTTTTCTAATTATTTTCAATTTCTGTATAAACAAGTTTGGATATAAATTTCACATCTTTATTGTTTTTATATTGGCACAAGGTGCTGGCTCATAACTTGGATCATATATGAGTCCTAAAAGATTCATATAAGAGTAAAAAAATTTTGGTTTTTGAAACTCATATTTCTTACCTACCTAGGACTCCCTTCGGACTCATATATTCTGAACGCTCAGAATATGTTTGCGGGGTGTATGTACATTTGTTTGTGCCTAGCTATTTATGTATGGTGCCATTAATGTTTATTTGATTTGAATAAAAAATAAATAAAGATAAAATATAAAGGTAAAAATAAATAATTAAATACACCGCTGAAAAGGGGTCCTGACATTCCCTACTTACATTAGTGTGGAATAGTATAATTTGTCTGTATGGAAAGCACTATAGAGAAATGTATATGTGTACGCAAATGCAGACTCATAAAACCACACTAATAATGGGCAAGTATGCCCGTGGTTTAAAATGAGGCCATATCATAAATGTTCAGTGTACTCTTGAAGCTTTCTTGTTTCACTACATCCGGTAGACGAGTGCAGTATTTATTCATTTTGGACCGAGTAATAACCGAAAACGACATTTCTCACCTAGAATTTAGAAAGCTATGGGTTTTTTTCTTATATACACTTGTCTATTGCTTAGACTACAAATAAGGATCTTTCTGTGCTGGATTGTTTGCTATTTGAGATGTTGCATTATGTAGGGTGGAGAGAATTGGATTAGCTAGGTTTTGTAAAGTGTAATAGAGTTAGGTAAGAAGTTTACTGCGAGGTGGTGCTATTTTCGTTGTAGGGCGGAAGTAGGACCAATTTTGCAATTTGCCTTCTGATTTCTCCCTTAGCTGTTTCGATGTCGACTACTCTTACTCGGTTGTCGGAACCTGGGTGTAGCTTGACTATTCTCCCCAATCTCCATTCGTTTGGTGGCAGGTTTTCCTCTTTAACGACGACAAGGTCTCCTAGCTTTAAGTTGTTTTGTGGATGTTTCCACTTGATGCGTTTCTGCATTTCGGTGAGGTATTCATTGTTCCATCTCCTACAGAATGTCTGGTGTAGGGCCTTCAGTTTCTGCCATCGATTTACGATTGGGGCAGGACTTTCGTTTACATCGATTTCGGGTGGGGCAAGAAGATGCCCGCCGACTAGGAAATGACCTGGGGTAAGCGGCTCCAGGTCCGACGGTTCGTTTGAAGAGGGGCTTAGTGGTCGTGAGTTGAGACAAGACTCAATACGGCATAAGAGTGTGCTGAACTCTTCAAAAGTATATTTGTGGTCGGACGCAACCTTTTTAAAGTGGGTTTTGAAACTTTTCACCCCAGCTTCCCACAAACCGCCCATGTGAGGGGCCGCAGCGGGTATGAAATGCCACCTTAAGGTTTGATGGCTGTATTTAGTGAGGGTGCTATTGCGTGCCTCAACTAAAAATGCTTTAAATTCCGCTCGTAAAGATCGTGAGGCTCCGACAAAGTTAGTACCATTGTCGGAGTAAACATTTTTTGGACATCCTCGTCTAGCAACAAATCTTGCGAAAGCGGCTAGAAAGGACGCGGTGCTAAGGTCGCTGGTAGCTTCAAGGTGAATGGCTTTCGTCGAGAAGCAGACGAAAAGACAAACGTAGCCTTTTGACATGCGACATCCTCTGCCCCGGTAGGACTTGATGTCGAACGGGCCGGCGAAATCCACTCCCGTGTTTGTGAATGCACGGGAAAAGGTGGTGCGTTCTTTGGGAAGAATTCCAATAAGTTGAGTTTGCGACCGTTTCTTGTGGATCGTGCAGACCTTGCATTTATGTATGACGGACCGTATCAAGTTTTTTACCCTGGGAATCCAGTACTGCGATCGGATGAGTCGCAGCATCAGCTGGTTCTCTCCGTGCACGGAAATGTTATGGATAAACTGGACAAAGAGACGGGACAACATACAACCATACGGAAGAATGATAGGATGACGTTCATTGTTAGTGATGTGCTGAACTACCGGTACCCAATACTTCAGAAAGATTTCGGTGCCCAATACTTCCTCTTCGGTACCCAATACCGATTCAATACAGCTTTGCAGCTTTTTGATATAATTTTCAACAGAATGTCTGTCAAAAAAGTAGCATCGACCATACTTCTACTATGAATATGATTCACAATAAGTACGTGTAAGACGATACTTTCCGAATAGTTGAACAGTTTGTACTAAGCAATGTGGAAACCACCGATTTTACTGTGCAACAGTAAAATACCGTTTTATCAGTTTCCACCTTCATAGATCTAAAATTTACGAAAAATGCTTTCACGGGTGAAGGAAGTCTTTCAGGCTTACAAAGATCATCGTCCGATTTATTTAGAAAAAAATGTTTCAAATAAAGAAGAGTTTCTCTGCATTGTGGCTATGGAAAATGGAAATTAAAACCTCTATTAGCCCCTACACTTTCTTTTGATAGGCTAGCCTCCCCTAAACCGTTTTTATTTTTGGTCTACATGAGTTCTAATTTGAAGCCCAAACGTTTCGGTACCGAGTATCGAAAGTATTGGATACTTTTTAAATCGGTACCGAGTATCGATCAATACTTCAATGTATCGACTCAGCACATCACAATTCATTGTAGGACAGATCGCAAGATGCGCTCAGACGACCACCAGCCCTCAGAATCTCATCTTGGTCGATGAACGCGTTAAGAGGCAGGATTTCACTTTTTCCGTCGATGGATTTTCCAGGTTTTAACCTTATATATTCTTCGCTGTAATATTGTTTTTGAAAAATTGTTATTAAGCGTTGGGTCGTTGTTTTAATTCGTAGGACGAAATTGAACGAGACTCCGCTTTAAAGGAAGATTTTGTTTTGGGATTGAGTCTTTGATAGAATCTCATAATATAAGATATAAATCTCAAAGCCCGTGACAAATCAGAAAATCGATCGAGAATGTCGTGAAAGTCGTTTACTTTTGTTGTTGCATGAACAGCACCCTCTCCTTGCTGTCTTCTAAGAAGTGAAAAAATTGCTAACAAACGAAAAGGGATGTAGCCCACCGCACAGTATCTTTCGTTAAGTTTCCCCTCAACTAAGTTACCGTACAGTGGGGCTTATTGTTAGCGGCTGGAAAGTTAGCCGTAACTTATATATGTGTTTGTGTGCTCTTACATCAAGTGACAAAACGCGTATTAGGGTGGTGCAATATATTTAGGTCGCGGACCTAAACATTGGAAATTTTTTTTTGTATGGAAAAAAATGCGTCACGCAGTCGGAAAAAAAATTATTAAAAATCAACGCGATTCTTTAGCAACTTAAAACTTGCGCACTATTGCCCTAGAATGTAATGAGCATTTAAACTGCATACTCAAAAAAATTCAAAAAATCCGAAAAAGTTGAAAATTTAGCTGAAACGTTGCAGATTTTTTATAATTTTTGCACAAAGTTTGAATATAGATTTGTTGCATAATCAGCTAGACTTTTAAAAATCGTCAAAATTGATCAAAACGTTGATGACTTAATTAGCTGATCACAAGCGCATGTGTTTTTACTTTGAAAATGTACGTTAGCTCTGCAATATGTAAAAAAATGCGCACATAAACAAAGCCATTTTAGTTTTATTCACATTTTTAAAGCTGACTAGTTTAGTTAAATTAGGAGAACTTAAGCCATCGCTACGTCATTGGTTAAGTGAATTCATAATTTGCATTCGAATACTTGCAGCCAATTGATTTTAATTTTCAATGTCTACGTCACTTTCATTCAAATTTGCTAGTGGGTCTGAAGGAGGAGACTCCATTATAGGATTTGGTGCGCCGTATTCTATGCAAATGTTATGCAAAGCTGCACATACATTTGCAATGACAGTTGCCTTATGGGGGTCGTAGTGCAATTGACGAGCATTTAATAGGTAACGGAACCGATTTTTCAGTACTCCGAATGTTCGTTCCACTATATTCCTTGCTTTAGCGTGCACTGAGTTGTAGTTGCTCTGTGGAGTATTGTTCGTTGAAGCTCGAAATGGGGTCATTAGGTACGGTTCCAATGCATATCCAGCGTCGCCTAAAAAATGCAAGTAGTAAAAATAATTTCACATCTCTTATTAAATTTGTACCCAAAAGCTAAGTATTTCGTTCGCCACTTAAATAACTTCGCTGCATTATGGCCTTCGCTTCACTGATACCCCATATATGCGCATCATGACTAGCACCGGGATATCTAGCATCAATAAACCGTATTCGCATTTTGTGGTCAGAAATCTGAATT